GCACCTGCGGCACCTCCGTGTCCTCACCCTGCGTGGGATGGTGCAGAGAATCCCAGGGGAGCTGAGTGAGGTAGCTGGCAGCTTGGTGCGTCTGGAGATCCACAATGAAGGCACCAGACTGTTGGTACTAACGGGACTTAGGCGGCTGGTTGGGCTAGCTGAGCTGGAGCTGCAGGGGTGCCAGCTTGAGAGGCTGCCGTCTGCTTTGCTTGCACTAACCGGACTGCGCAGCCTGGACCTGCAGCACAACTGCCTGCGGACCTTGGAGGAACTGCTTGGACTGCAGCATTTACGGCGTCTTTCCTGCCTAAGACTGGCCCATAATCGTGTGCTGGCCCTGCCTGCAAGTGTTGGAGTACTTCGCGCTCTGGAGCTCTTGGACTTGTCACACAATCAGCTGCAGAACCTTCCCCCGGCGCTCTTCACGCTACATCGACTACGGCGCCTCCTGCTGGGGGGAAATCTGCTTGAGGAGCTGCCAGCTGAGGTGGCAGCACTGACTCTCCTCACCGAGCTGGATTTGAGTGGGAACAGACTAGAAAGCCTGCCCAAGGAACTTTTCACAAACTGTGTGGAACTACGCATTTTGAATGTGGCCAACAACTCTCTAGGTTCTTTACAGCCGGGTCTGGGGTTCTTGAGCCACTTATCTCAGCTGGATGTGCAAGGGAACAACCTGGAGGAGCTTCCTGTGGAGCTGGGCTGCTGCTCTGGGCTACGTGGTGGCGGATTGCTGGTGGAAAGCTGGCTGCTCCACACCCTACCAAGCCACATCAGGGATTTCTTACAGCAGACCCACTCCCCATCTCGTGCCTCATCTGAGGCTAACTCCCGCCCAGTCTCAGACAGCTTCCCAACTTTCTCTACCGCTCAGTGGAGCTTTCTCTCCGCTGTTGAGTCACGGATATAGTCAATCCTTCATAGAAGCACTCTGAGTGGGCTTTCTGTTTGAGGCTGTTGAAACACCACTGAACTGTTTTTTCACACTGTGACTTTTAACTTGACGTTACTAGAAGGATGTAGTGGTTTCTTTTAAAAGCCTTCCATGTTAAATTAGCTACTGCGGAAATGAAAACTTGATTTGACAACTGACCACACACTCATGGTGGTTAAAGTAAAAAAAAATAGATGATTACATGTTATTGATGTCTGGCAAATTTGGGGAAGTGGAGTTTGCCTAATTTACAGGCTGAGAGCTCCCCTTTCATCCCTCCTTTAATGCGTAGAGGCAGGCCTCAAAACACAGACTGTCAAGGGAGTCTTTGAAGAAGGTTTGTTTTTATTTCGAGGGGAAAGCAATTTATTTGCATGAGATACCTGCCACTGCAAATGCAGCTGGTTTTGGTGGTAGAAGGACAGACTCATGGTGTAAAAATCACAGTTCTCAGCTGCCTCAGTTAACAACCAGGAGCAGGATTCAGAAAAGCTTTCCAAAGAAAAAACTACAAACACTGTTCATAAGAATGTTATAAAATTTAATTCATAAGTTCATAAACATTCTCTAAAGGAAGGCTTCATATTTTTTTAAGTAGCCTATATGGTTTTTGTCATGTAGCTTGTTGATTACATACAATCAAGGATAGCAGGAGATACTTTCTGAATAAGCTATTCTAGGTTAAATTGAAGCGAGTTGCCTAAAGACAACATGAAAATGTTGGAAAAACAACCAAACACTCAAAAATACTTCTGGAAGTGAAGGTAAAATTGTAATGCGTGGCGTCTGAGAATACAGTTTTAAAATGCAGTTTTGTAAGCTAGCTAGTTACCGACCTAAGCAGCTTCCAAACCAACACTAGGGTGGACAATGTGGCAAGAATATTATATTATGATAGAATTTTTACACTACATTATACATATTATAATATTCTGATACACTACAGACACACTATACTAATAGTGCCACATTTAAAAGCAACCACTAGAAATTATGAGATGAATTATGAGATGCTTTTATTCAATATTTCACATACTACCCTGCACTAAATCCAATTAAACAGGACTAATTATGCTCTATTTGTAATGAAACATGCAGTTTCAGAGTTCTTTAAGGTCTCATGGTATCCATGATATGCTCAGAACAGCATACTGTTTATTACAATAACAAAATTAATCATGATAATGATTAAATATTGCCATATTGCCCACTTCTAGTGAACACCATTGACCGCAACAACTAAATCACTAGAGGTTTTACAGGCTTATTGTTACCTTGTCAACTTACAATATGTTTTAGGATCCAGAAAGTATTTTACAGTATTTTTCTTATAATTGTTCTAAGGTATCAACAATTCTAAAGACATTTTTTCTTTTGCTTTTTTTTGAAGATACTTTAGTAAAGACCTAGTGTCCAGCCTAAGTGTCCTAGATGGCCCTAGCCTTTATCAAAGGGTTAGGCAGAAACTAAATTTGGCTTTTAGCAGCTCTCTAGAGTCCTTAGCAGATACTTAAGGTCCTATGCATATGTTTAGTAGAGTGCTTGCCGAGCCCTCTCTGCATATTCATTACAGACAAACAATGCAGGCTGGGTACAAATAGAGATTTGTTTTGGTCCTATACTAATGGTGTATTTTATATTAAAGTGTTTTTATTTTTTATTTATTCTACATAGAAGATGTTTTAATAAATGTAGGATAATGTAATACAACTAATTATTAAATGGGCAACATTTGACTGACCCTGTTTTATCAGTAGTTCTTGTTACCACAGAGATTTTACAGATCTCCCACTTATTTGTAATACGCTGAAATAACTAACTGATAATAAAACATAGTTGGTCGACTTTTGAGTCAGCAGTCTTATGAAAATTAGTTAAAGCCTCAGAGGGATGCAGATGTTTGATATTTTTACAGTGTGTACATTTTCTGAAGGACAGAAACCTCAGTGGCAGAATGTTTTGCTTATTCACAGTTAACCAAAGTAATATATTTCAAAGAAGAGGGCTAAAGCCTCTTCTCGTGTTATACAAAGCAATTATTTGTTTCATGAAGAATTTTTGGAGAGCTACGTTGGTCAGTACTTGAAGAACAATAAAACACTTCTAAATCAGAGCATAATAGCATAATAAACCAGCTTACAAATTGAGGTTCAGAACAACTGTGAATTTCATCAGTAATTGTGGTTTAAATTAAAAAATTTTTAATTTAATTTATCAAAGGGAGCCATCCCAATTGGCCAGATGTTCAAAGTGTTTTAATGCCTCTAAAAGCAAGCTTCCCTAGTTAACAACCCCACACAAAGTTACTGCATAAAATGGTTACATATTGCTGCTGTCGGAACAAACCCTCATATCTCCAAAAAGGTAAATTTTTTCAATGAAACCAGACTTTTTTTCCAAGTAGTTCTGGGCTGTTTCTTTTTGTCCATTTATCATGAAATTTACTTACGCATTTTCAAATTATGTCAAAAACTGAAAATGACAAAAATGGAGATACAAGGTTTTGTTCCAACAGCAGTGATATGCATATATATATATATATATATATATATATATATATATATATATATATATATATACACATATATGTATATATATATGTATATATGTATGTAATATACATATAATAATAGACATGTGTAGGTCATATTGGGTAGTTACTAACTAGCTGCCTCGTATCACCACCAATGTAAAGAAATTTGAGTCGTTAAGTTCTGCTACGTTGCATTTCACATAAAACCACTCTGAATTGCTTAGTTTACAACTCAACCACTGAATTATGAACAAAAATAGAAAAAATCAGTGGAAATCCCCAATAAAACAAAAGAAACATACTGGCCCAGTAGAAGAAGAAATCAGTGATATTCGTATTGGACCACACGACAGCAAATCACAGAAAAGTCCTGTTTTCTGAAACCCAGATACAGTATATAACTAACATAACACAAATAACACTGTATCTATGGAGAGAAAGGCCACACTCTTCTGACTGGAGTCAAGTTTTGAAGATATTTATTCTTGGGCTTCCTGTTTGTCCTCCAGTCCTTCCCCCATCTCATCTTGGCTCTTCTTAGTTGGAGCAGAGAGCACATTTTGCAGGACCTCCTCATGATCTACAGTGGTTATGTCAGTGTCACCTCTGTGTCTGTAAAGTAAGATGAGTTTCGCTAGCACTGCCTTTTCACCATTAATAATGACTAGGTTGGCCAGTGACCATTGCTTATCAGAATACTAGATGTTAAAAAATCTCAAAGGACATATCAATGAGGATATCTTTTTTGCAGCAGCTAAACTACTACTACTAAACCACTGACTAAGGCCCAAAAAATTTTAATCACACCACTGACTGGGGCCCATAAGATTCTAGTTACACCACTGATTGGGGCCCATATGATCCTAGTCATGCCACTAACTAAGGCTCATAAGATTCTAGTTACACCACTGACTGGGGCCCATATGATCCTAGTCATGCCACTAACTAAGGCTCATAAGATTCTAGTTACACCACTGACTGGGGCCCATATGATCCTAGTTATGCTACTAACTAAGGCTCATAAGATTCTAGTTACACCACTGACCTGGGGCCCATTAGATGCAAGCTGATCCTAGTTATGTGTGGCATTTGGCAAGTGTGGATAAATGAAAAGTGAAGAACAATTCAAAATCACAGAACAATTCTGAACTCCTGTCAAAATTTGTGACTTTCGATGACTATCGTAAGGGTTGGCAAGCGTCACCTATGTTTAAAGCTTACATCAGATATGTTATGTATACGAAACGAAAACGTCTCTACTTCCTAGCGCCTTTCACAAAATGCCCGCCCAGCTTCGAGCGGGTTTCGTTTGTACAGTGATAAGTGACAAATAAAAACAACCAATCACGAATGTCGCTGTAAAAGCCGTTTCCATGCGAACGGCCGAGTCATCCAATCACATTGCTGTTTTTATTGAGGAGGCGGGTGTTTGTGCGTAAGTGAACGACAGAACACAAGAACCAATCAGAAGTGTATCTGCGACGAATTTTTTCGCTGAGTCGTCCAATCACGTTGCTACTTTTGGAGGAGGCGGGCTTTCTGGGCTGAAGTATAAACCTGAGGCCCCTCCATGTGGCGCTAACAGCGGTAACCTTCCTCTCCGGTAATATCACTGTAAGGTAAGAAGGGCTTTACTTATCATAATAAGCGAGATAGGCTAACTTTTTATGGCTGTTTAGGTCAGTGTGTGTACGAATGGTTGCAGAATAATTACTCGTGGCTGTAGTAAGTAAATAAAAGTAAATACGGCTACTATTGATTGTCGTTGGTCAGCTAGGTAGCAAGCTATGCTAATTAGCCTAGCTCAAGCGAGGTTGCATGCTGAAGAAGTTAGTTAACCTAGCTAGCTAACTAGCTCGCTTAGGAATGATATTGTTTTGCATATTAATGTGTGGCGTTTAATATGTTCGAGTAAGTTGTTTACAAGTCGTGTATAGTGTAATGTTATTAAAAGACTGAAGGAGTGACGCGCCGAATGAGCTGTGAGCTGCAGTGCCGGTTAGCATTAGCATTGACGAGGGGGCCTTTGAATGAAGATGAGAGCCATTGTTCTTGCGACGAGTTTTACGCAGAGTAACTTCCAGCTGTATCGTTTCATAGCGAATTGGTCGGCCAGGAGTCCTGTAAAGTGGCCAGCTTTTATATAGAAACCATCTATATAGTTATGTAGTCTTAGCTCGGGCGAATTCCCCCCCAATTTCGGTTTTACTTACGTAACGCGGGCAAACTCAGTCACGACCAGCTGATGCAGGAAAACACGAAAAGTCGTGATTTAACATTGCCTTGTTTCTCCCTAAAATTTCGTGATGCATGCAAAACTTTCCATATCTGAGAGTTGGGATGTAATGGAATACAGGTACTGGGAATACGTACTCAGAATTCAGAAGTCAAGTATCTGTATTCGGTCCAAGTCATATTTTATAAAAGCAGTATTCAGAATACAGTTTGGTTTTTTTTTTTAGGAGAATACTTTTAGAATACATACCCAGTAAATAAAAAAATGTACCATCTTAAAAACACCATTAGTGTTTGTTAACATTTTAAAATCAGCACACAGTATGTTAAAACCTTTTTAAAAATGTCATTTTTTATAAACACTCAAGTTGCTTCTAAAGCCTGAGTATACTGATAAATCAATATGATGAGCTAGTTATTAATCTGAGCATTAGTAAACGCTTTTGAGGGATGACTGAAGTTAACCTCAGAAGTGGACATGCATTCTGTGGCATGGTACAGATATATCATTAACTGAATCACGTAGCTACTCACTTTTATTAAATTTTGTTATTGGGATATGGCCCAATGGTCATGAAACTGCTGTGGGGTTATGGGAGCAGCAGTGTACTGAATCAGGCAATGGGAGCTAAGATAACATTGAAAATGTTGTATTCATTTGAGTAATTGAATTGTACACATGAACAAAACTGCCAATCAGTAACAGTACAGAACAGTGTGAGTTTAGTAAAAATTAGTTTTTCCCATGTACTTTATCAATATGAATGCTGAATATGCTATTGTAATGGAATATGTTACTGAATACATTTAGGACAGTATTCAGTATTCAGCCATCACTACTTTTTCAAAGTATTTTGCCCAACCCTGTCCATACCTCAGGAGTCCATTAAATATTTCAGCACATAATTTTCATTCTTAAGAATCTAGTCTGTAACCCTTGGTTAAGACTTCTGTAACTGTGTATTTGTTTTGTGTGATATCATGCCTGTGAATCCATCTGGCTTCTCTGCTCTGTTTTACATGAAAAAGTAAAGCGCTTTACTATGTGTTGTAAAAACTCTATTAAATATCTTATTTTTGATTCTCTATCTTAGCAGATGCTTGATGCATTTTGGTACAGATTCCCCTTCCATTTGCATTCATATAGTCCCTGAGTTTGTAGATTTAAAATGCATTGTTTCTCTGAGTAACTCAGGCTTAATGAGGTGAGAGCCAAATGGTCTAGACTAAAGGGCCTCAGGTGTGACCTGCTCTCACAAAACTGACTCCCACTTCACTTTTACACATGTGATTTTCCAGCATGGCTGAGAACGACGTTGATAATGAGCTGTTGGACTACGAGGAGGATGAGGAGCCGCAGGCAGCCCCAGAGAGCGCCACGCCAGCAGGGAAGAAGGAGGTGAAGGGTTCCTACGTGTCCATCCACAGCTCTGGCTTCAGAGACTTCCTGCTCAAACCTGAGCTCCTGAGAGCTATTGTGGACTGTGGTTTTGAGCATCCATCAGAAGGTATGGTTGACATACTTCTTTAACTCTTTAGTTTGTCACTTGTCATTCAAGAGATGGTGTTTGACCAAGATCACTTGTAGGCTTTGTTAGTTGTGACTTATTTGTTGTGTAGGTGATTTAGGTCAAGATGTAGACTACTGGGCAAAAAAAAAAAACAGTTCCGTAATGTTTACTTGAAGGTAGTGGCTGATATAAGTACATTAATAAAATTAATGAGCCCATCCTTCCTGAGTACTGGTACCCTGTGCTTCAAGCATGTCTTGGCTTGTTTTGATTGGACAGTTTTGGTAACTTTGTCTCTTACAGTTACACCAATACTGTAGACTGAAAAAAATTGTCAAGTCAGGATTAAAATCTGGCTAAAAATTCTGTGCTGTAGGCCCAGCACTGCACAGTATTGTAAACTTATAGGAGAAAGCCGTGCAGCAGTTATTATAGTGCCTTAGGTGCCAGAATGTAACTGCTGCACCATTTAAGGTGGAACGGGAAAATTTGAACAAGAAGCTAGCGAATAGGATGTCGACAGCCTTGTATTAAAACTGCAGGTAGGATAGTTTGATAGTCTATATGTCCATATCAGAAAATGTTACCAGCATTAAAAGAATAATTAAGATCTTTTGATAGCCTAAATCAGCTTATCGGGGGAAGCAGTAAAAATACTGAATTAACATTAAAAACACAATAAAACATTTGAACGCTCTCATGTTTGAACTGTTTGAACATCTTATGGCCATATGGTGCCTCCTTTAATGTTACTGCACGTTTGATATTTTAGTGTTTAAACATACAAAAAGTGCATAGCGCTGCTTGATGTTTTTCAATAAAAAAATGAGGAAATGATTTCTGTTTGTGTATCTGTAGTTTTTGAACATTTTCAGCATATTTTAACAAAAATGCAGTAATACTGATAACCATGAAATGTCTGGTCACTAATCATGTTTTTGTGTATATTGAACAAAGTTATTTTGGTCAAGCCTGAAGTGGCCAAACTGGCTTAGCAGCTCCCAACAGCCAATAGAAACAGCTCAAGCTCTTGTGAACAAACATCACTTACCACTGCCCTCTAAACATGTTGCAGCACCGATCAGAAGTTTGGGGTGCTACATTCAGGTGTTTGACCACTGACTTTCTGCTGGTGTAATGATGTACATGTTCAAAGTTAATGAGGGTTTTACAATATGTTCAGCTGTTTGTGTTTGTGCAAAATCCTACTGCGCAATATGAAAATGTACTTCATGTGGTCTGTGATATTTGTATTTCAGTGCAGCATGAGTGCATTCCACAAGCCATTCTGGGTATGGACATCTTGTGCCAGGCCAAGTCTGGTATGGGAAAGACAGCTGTGTTTGTGCTGGCCACTCTGCAGCAGATAGAGCCTGTGGATGGACAGGTGTGTCTTCTATTTGAAACATTTAATTATTGAGTTACAGTACAGGGATCAGTTGTTCATAGGTCTCTAACTTGAATTACGGAGGGAAAAGAGCGAAATGTATAGTCAGTGCTAGTTTTAGTTTAGTAGCTTGTCGACAGCACTATGTAAATATGCAACCTAAATTGTTTGCAAGTCTGTGCATTGATCACTATTCATTTACAGTGCATTGGGAAAACTAGCTCTAATCTAACAGCAGACAGGGTCTTTAACTGTATGGATTCCACAGCATAGAGTCCAGCCACATAAGTGTTTTTCTTCCTTCTCTGCTGACCCAATTAGGTGTCTGTGTTGGTCATGTGTCATACACGTGAGCTGGCCTTCCAGATCAGCAAAGAGTATGAGCGCTTCTCCAAGTACATGCCCACTGTCAAGGCTGCAGTGTTTTTTGGCGGCCTGTCCATCAAGAAGGACGAGGAGGTGCTGAAGAAAAACTGTCCACACATTGTGGTGGGCACACCAGGCCGAATCCTCGCTCTTGTCCGCAACAAAACTCTCAGCCTCAAAAACGTCAAGCACTTTGTCCTCGACGAATGTGATAAGATGCTGGAACAGCTTGGTGAGTGTTGAAATGTTTCTGATTTAACACTTGTTGTGGTGCTGTGAAGTTTTAGATAGAAACTTTTTTAATCCTGAAGGAAATTGGAAGGTAGAAAACAAAACTGTGAATCACATTCATGCTGAGAAAAGTTATAAATTCACAAGACTCTTACAATAAACTTAAACAACATTATGGGTTTCCAGACTTGATTTCTAGTCATGTCTTTGACTAAATTTAAATGCCAGTGGTGATTTTACTGTTCCCTTTTTAGTCCAGGTTGTAATATTGGTTCAGGAAACCATCTATGTGTTTGCTTGAACGAAGGTGAATGTTTGTGTAATATAACTTTAGGTAGTCCTTAATGACATTTTAAAAATGTGCAAGAGAAGAAGGTAAATGGACAAGGGATATATTGAAACAATTAGAGATTCAAAGTACTGTCTTAAAACTAGAGAAGGGACCGATCCAGTGCTATATTTGTATCAAGTCTGATATTGGCGTCACTTCACACATCGGATATCGGACGGACAGGGTCAATCTGCTTACCGATCCAGATTCCAGTTCGCAGTTTGCCCTGGACCACGAACCTGCCATAACATAAGACACGTCACTAATCCAGATTCCATTCCACATCTTACCATGAACCCATGGCAACTTCAGTCTGTTAACTGAGTGAGCAAACATTAGCTGTTGGTTTGACCAACATGTCATTTGTTTGGCAAAATTTTAATTTGGAAAAGCCCAAAAGAAAGACTGCCACTTGTAATGTTTGTAAAGTGAGCTTGCAGAGGGGTTGAAGTACGGCTGCGTCGTAGAATACAACCAGTTTAATTAAGCACCTGCAGAACTTTCATGTGAAAGAGTACCAGGAGTTCATGCTAGCCAACAGACAGGAAAATCCCATCCGGCAGCGACTCTCGCTGATGATTCCCAGAAACGCGGTACACTTCCAGCAGACCACCCAAAGGCTAAAGGGATGACAGAGAAGTTGCTTAACTTCATCATACTCAGTGACAAACCACTATCTGTAGTGGACAATGTCGGAATACGCAGCCTGTTGGAGCACTTGGAGCCCAGGTATAATTTGCCATCCAGCAAATACATTTCAGACTGCTTTACCCGAACTGTACAACCAGGAGTTATCACCGTTAGCGGTGCAGTTAGATGTTAAAGCCATGAGCTCCATAGCTGATATTTGGACTTCAGATGTGAACCCAGGGTCTCTGATAATCTCACTGTACATTGGGTGAACTCAGAAATGTATGCACTACAGAGTGTAGTGCGTCAGGTGAAAAAGTGCCTGTTACTACTTGAAACGACGGGAGAGCAGGGCACTTTTTTTTTTTTTTGGATGAATAATGGAAATTTTTTTTAGCAACCTTAATCATTGTTTTATGCAGGGAACCTACAGATCCCTGCCCCAAATGTAAAAGCGAGCATGCCCCATTGAAATTATTCATTATTACAGGCTGAGAGGTTGGTTGGTGCATTGATGTGAATACTAATTCAGTACAGTTCAATGTTTTAATCAGAGAGGCTCTCTAACCATAATTCATTCGTTCATCATGTAACCTGCTTATCCTACCGGTTCACGGGGGATGCAGGAGTCTATCCCAGCACTCATTGGGCGGAAGGCAGGAAACATCCTGGACAGGTCGCCAGTCCATCACAGCGCATAAAATAAAGATATCAATGCATAATCAATACCTGAAAATATGTTCGTATGTGGTTAGAAATAAAAGACTATCGAACACTGGCCATTTTATTTTTGACAACTAAGAACAGCAGCAAATTTCAGCACAATACAACTGGAATGTATTTTATTTACATGACCTCTTAAGAGCAATTTTGATGAATCTATGACTAAAAAAATCTTAAACAGTTATGAGTTTATACAGGTACATAAGGACATCTGTGTTTATTTTGAGAGGCTTAATTACAACATTGTTCAAATTAACCCCACCCTGTGGAGACTGTACTCAAGCCTTGCTAGTTCTCGCTGTGAACTGTTTATATGCTATGTTAAAGACATAAAGATGATGACTAAAGTAAAATAGATTGAAATTACTTATACAACGTAATCTGAAAACGATTTGATACAAAACTGGTCTTCTGGATGAAAATTGAGAAAAATGTCACATGACGATGCTGCAGGAATGTGACCAAAAACATGTTCTTCTTGAACCTGTTCAATTACATAAGTGTTATATTTTCCTCCGCACACACTCAGCTCTACACATAAGCTTTGGCTCTTATTACTGCTGGAATAACCTGTTCTTAAGCATCATTTGCTTTGATTGCCATGCCTGAATGACTCTGTGATGCTTAATTTCTCTCTTTCTCTTAGATATGAGACGTGACGTGCAGGACATTTTCAGGCTCACCCCTCATGAGAAGCAGGTTATGATGTTCAGCGCCACCCTCAGCAAAGAGATCCGGCCAGTCTGCCGCAAGTTCATGCAGGATGTGAGTTTTCAAATCCAAACAACACTCTTCTTCTTGGTTGATTCATTATAAACAGTGTGTGGATTTAAACTATTATTTCCCTGTACTGGAAACTCTAAACAATGTATCATATAGTGCCAGTTAACCAGTTAATAAAGGCTATGGAATAACTCCCTAGCACTGCATTTACCCTATTTTCTATGACAAGGTGCTGGTGATTGATAGCTGTTGTGGGGTGGGGCAGTTGTGATGTGATGTTTATAGGAATTAAGGTACCATTTTCCATAAGAAGAAAACCACTGAAATTTTTTTTTCCATGTTTTAATTAATTTAACTAATTTTTATCTTTAAATTTAAAGAAAACCGTGGCAAAGTTTTTAGTGGCCATGATATACATGGAAATAAAAGATGCTGAGCGCTTACGGTTCATCAGAACAGTAACAATATGATACAGTAAAAGTACAAATGATAAAGATAATGTATTTAAAAAAAACACCTTAAGAGACTACAAAATGCGTGTAAACTTGGTGTCAATTTTGACGGATGTAAGTTTAGGGAACGCCCTTGTCCAGTTACGTAATTGTTTCTCAAGCTGGCAAAAACCCTGGCCAATTCTTAACAGGTTTTGCCGTTTCTTGGAAGTCAGCACTGGCACTTGCACCAGCGCCTTATCATTGGAAAAGGCATATGTGTGGGTTTAAATAATTACAGTACTGATGTATCAATACTCTGAGCCCTTTGTATGACTGCCTTCCCCCCCCCCCTCTCCTCTTGACCCCCTCAGCCAATGGAGGTGTTTGTGGACGATGAGACAAAGCTGACTCTACACGGCCTGCAGCAGTACTACTGCAAACTGAAAGACAGTGAAAAGAACCGAAAGCTTTTCGACCTACTTGATGTCCTTGAGTTTAATCAGGTACGTAGAGGGGGAGAAAACACTATAAAGGGGTACTTGACCGAAAAATGCACATGCGTAACTGAATGGCAGACACTCTAATGTCCGATGTCCATAGTGCTAAGGAGGACTAGCTGTTAATTGGCATGTGATCAGCTCCACATTTATTATTGTTATCTGAGAGTAAAGAACTAAAGAACAAACAGCTGTTATTGACTCTTTGTTGGCAACGTTACTGTTTTGTGCCGACATGTTATCTTGATGCACAGCTGCCATGTTTTGATCTGGTTTTTCCACCCTGTCTATTGATGCTAACAGCCAGTTCACCTCATTTGTGGTCTTGTAGTGTATCAGGTTTTACGTTCTAGAAGCATGAGCTTATTGCTGGGTGAGGGTTTGAGCCAACTGCAGTTTCTCTCTTTGCTGACAGGTGGTGATATTTGTGAAATCAGTACAGCGCTGTGTGGCTCTGTCTCAGCTGCTGGTGGAGCAAAATTTCCCTGCTATTGCCATCCACAGAGGCATGGCCCAGGAGGAAAGGTAAGGGTCCTGCCCAGTAAACGCTGTGGCATGTCAATCAGCTGTATGATGATGTCGGAATATGAAGGTTTTTTGCTGTATGCTGTGTCTAGAGGCTCCTGAAAGTAAAATTAAGAAGTACAAGATTGTAAGTACAACCACTTTGAAGGTCACTTTACAGAAATGGCCTTGTGTCGAATCACCCTAGACAAAACGATGAGTGGGGGTCACATTCAGGCTGGCTCTTTAGCCTTCTGTTATTCTATTCAGCCAGAGAACCTGCTGTTCTAAGCTAGTTAAGGATCTTGCAGCAGTGGAATACATTAAAATAAGTGAGGTTTGCTGGCTTTATCCCCCTCTAGTTTTTACAAATCCAACTGTTTTATAGTATAAGCAGAGAATAAGCAGGCATGGATGCCACCTTAGAAAAAAGAGTCTGTTTTTTTTAAGCTTTTTGTACAGCTTTACATGACAGGTGCTTTAAACTAACTTGTTCCAGCATTTTTTTTACTTCTAAGTATCTCATACATGCAACATGCACTTCCCACTTTTTTTGGATGAACTTGGTCAACACTAGGTGGCATAGCAGCACAGCATATTGCGACACGGCTTAAACGTCACTCAACACGTGATGTGGGATCACCCTTAGCCCCTTTAAAATCATTACTTGCCTTGCCTTCTCTTGTGCCACACACACTCTACATGAAGGTTTAAGTCTCCATTGTGTCTTCTATCAGAAACATTGACAGTTGTTTATACTATGATACATTCTAGTTGGCAAAAATAACAATTGCAGTGCGTTTATTACAACCAGCTCACTGATCAGCCAGCAAACATCAACATATCAGCTTGCAAAGACAGATGTGGCTGTTGATGGAAGCTAGGAGGCCCTAACTATTGCTACTTGTAAGTGCAGTGTTTGATTTGCTTATTTGTGTTTTGTTTGTTTTCAGGCTGTCCCGCTACCAGCAGTTTAAAGACTTTCAGAGAAGGATCCTAGTGGCTACAAATCTGTTTGGCAGAGGGATGGACATTGAAAGAGTCAACATCGTCTTCAACTATGATATGCCGGAAGACTCCGACACCTACCTGCATAGGGTGCGCTTACTATTTATTTATGGAAGGGAAGGGATGGAATCTGGAAAATGAACTGGAACAAAACCATTGCTTTATAGATAAGGTTACAGTCACATTCACTAGGTTTGAGTGACTCAATATGACACCGATCTGATTGTTTCAGAGCTGTGTGGACACACCCAATATCCATGCGGCATTAATGAGAGCGGTCGGATCAGAGTTTGTGTGGGGTGTGGGTTTTTTTCTTCTCTCCTCTTCCCGCTCCTCCGTCATTCAGTGTTAATGTGGCAACAATGCCTAGCTTGAGGTCAGTGCCAGTAAACACAGCAAAAGCAATATATCAGATCCTTTTTCATCTTGCTCTAATAATGAGCAGCTGAGAGCAGTTTAGAGCAAATTATCTTTGCGACGAAAGCTTGTTCTGCTGATTAGTTTGTTTGTTCCTAATGTGTGTGGTTCGTTCAAGTGATGTTATTGATTTAGGATGTGTGTATGTGGGTCGTTTCAGGACACGGATTCATTCACATTAGTGACGGCTTCAAGTCACTTACCTTTTATGGATGTGTACACTCAAGTGCAAATGCTTGAATATGAGCAAAAAAGTGGATTTGAGCTCTTAGGCTTGTAACGTGAACGTCGCCTTAGATCAGCATTTTGTCCCTCATCCTGGAGTACCTGCATCATGTGCCCCATTCACCTCATTCAGCTAATACAGGATTTTTTTAGCTGATAAGTTTAATCAAGCCTTTTAGGATCAGGCAAATATCAAAAAATGCAGTTGCTGGCAGAAGGAAATCACTGTAGATTTTTCTTTTGTGCTAGGAAATCTGTAGACTTTACTCAGCAGTCTTGTTATTTATTTTAAAATTTTTTAAATTTAAGTTTTGCACCCACAGTTTTCTTAAACTAGAGGTTTGCCTTGTTTTGCAAAATGTTTCCAACATTTCATGAATTCCATTCATATTTTGTCTAATGAGAGTGAATTGGGACAAAATATGAGCTCCGGTTTTGCCTAAAACCTTTTCATTATGTTATCTGAAAATTAGGGACCGACAACTTCCCTCACACACTGATTAATATCAGGACAAGTAAAATCGGTCTGTGCAAATTGAGCTGGTGTTTGATTTTTCCTTTCTGCCCTCACCTTAGGTTGCCCGTGCTGGTCGTTTCGGCACAAAAGGTCTTGCCGTAACCTTTGTGTCTGATGAGACGGATGCCAAAACTCTGAACGATGTGCAGGACCGCTTTGAGGTCAACGTGGCTGAGCTACCGGATGAGATTGACATCTCCACTTACAGTAAGATTTTTCTCTTTCTCTGGGTGCTTTTACAAACCTTTCTATAAATGTAAATAAAAATGTAAATAAATTCTCCTTTTGGGGGTCATGTTAGTTTCACAGGTCTACTCCTAACCTTTGGGGACAAATTTTGGTGCTGGATTGTGCATAAATCGCTCACAGACAAGGATCCTTTACAACCAGCCCCTAAATTTCTCTAGTTCAGCTCTTTTAACATCTGGAGTTCAAACAGTAAAACAAGCTAGCGAGTGACAGTCTTCAGCTGATGGAACTCTTTTTGCTTTATAAGAGGTTATGTTTATTTTTACCGAATGTAATGTGTTCTCTTTATATACAATACACGTACATGCTAAACTAAAGTTGTTTTGCGGGGACTTTTTTTTAAATTTATTATTTTTTGTAAACACTATATTGTTACAGTCAGGGACGCTGTTAGAGGTTTTTGCTGAGCTGGATTGGATTTAGTGTTGCATTGCTTTAGAAATTTCACACTCAGATTATTGCCACCCTGAGTCACCCACATTTAGCCCACCTACATTTATTTCTAATGGTTGTACCTAGATGCTAATCACAAGATTACGTTTGGTCCTGTGAGACTGTCATGCGTAAATAAAATCAGCAGGTCATCTCCAGCAATGTCTGTAATAGTCTCCAGGATATTTCCATAAAGCTCTCTATTGACTGTATATGTTAACAATCCAGTTCCATAATGGCTCAGGCATGCATAGTTTTAGGGCACTTTTAAGCAAGATACTGTTGTCCAAACACAATGTTCTTCAGCAGTTGATGAGATTATTCCATTCTCTACTTATAAATATTGCATGTAAAGTTGATTTACATTTGATAATTAACCACAAATGTTCACAAACTGACAATCCCCAATTGTATAAGTCAGTTTTAAACATAGTTTCAGGGAAGTGACAGCAGAAGAGTTAACAGCATTGGAAGTGTTTGGTGAATGGCAATAATATTGCTTGATTGTTGCTTGTGTAAACAGACTTTTCTTAGGAAAAAATAATCAAGCAATTGAGTTTCTTTTGCAAGACTCTCTCTTTCTCTCCCTCCTCCCCCATTATGTTTACATCTATTGGAATTTCTCATGCTTTCAGTCATCTCTGCCAGATGGTCTCATTTTCAAATAACCATCTGGGGGACACGGTTAGATTAGGCAACCTGCACAGCACGCATGTTTACAGTCTATGTGAGCATAGGGGGGAAACAACTTTTAATTAGATCAAATTGCCTGCCACTTCCACATATGCTACAAAGTCATAACTGCGTTTTCAGTGAGGGCACAATGGCACATTGGTCTGGTATGTCAAGCATTTGCAAGTTCTCCAGAACAAATATTAGAAAACCACAGGTAATGACTTTGTTTTTAAAACAGCTGTAGAGGGACAGCTAGTGGAATAAACGTCTCTCGGCTGGTCAGACTAATGGAATAATCCACTGCGCGAGTGAGCAACTGCTGCCACAAATGTCTTGGTGGATTTGTGGAGAAACCTGAGGTGGCTGTGTTGGATCACTTCCTTGGTAGTCTCAGCCATGACATGCTGGAGTGCACATCGTCTAGGGTAGGGGTGTCAAACTCAACCAGCAAAAGGGCCACATTTAAAATCTCCTCAAATCTGTGGGCCAAAGAAAAAAATGTTTTTTCATTTTTAATTAATGGTGTGCTATAACCCGAACTGGCCTTTGTTCATGCGACATATGCAAAAGCTTCAGCAGTAAAATAGATACTTGTAGTAGACCTTGAAATATTACATGGACACTTGAAATATTCAAAATTTAATTGTCCCTGGGTGCTCGGTCTTAAACCTACCTATTTGCTTGAACTAGACACCTGGCATCCTTTCTTGCTGCAAGTTCATTAAGACTTGGGCTCAGCTGAGCTAATGTTAAGTGTTTATGTTGGTTGAACTGAAGCTGAAATGCATTTTGGTGATATGACTGGTGTGGAATTGCACAGCATTGTGTGGAATTGAGGAGTAACCGCTGTCCTATAGATTGTTGTTGGGGTAGGAGAGTCGGAGCGCGTTATGTTGCAGTGCATGCTGGGGACTGTAGTGCAGCACCTTGTGAAACAGGCTAATAATAATAGAAAATTGAAATGCTTTTTCGGGCCGGATAGGACTGTGTGGCGGGTCTGGTTTGACCCATGGGGTCTGGTGTGTATGAAGCACTGTGTAGCTAGCTTATATGAGAATAAAGCTGTGCAAAAAAATGTGAAGTAACATTTCTCTTTTCTTTTCTTCCTGCAGTTGAACAGTCAAGATGAGCCCTCAAATCGTGCCAAAGGACCGCCAGCTTACAGACGAACGTGTTTTTGTTTTTTGTCTAGGCTAATGGAGGAGTTCCCTCCAATCTGTGCCGATTTTAAAGCTCTGCACCTCAATGTGGTTTTAAAATTACTGTTTCTTTATGGAATGGAGGGGAGATGTCTGCTTTTGTCTGAGTCATCTTTCTTTTTTTTTTTATTGAAATTAAAACTTTTATACAGTTACTGCTTTATCGTGTTTGTGCTGTTTAACTGCTTGTTTTGGTTTGTCTGGTCAGCATTTTAAATGAATTAATGACAGTAAGTTACACCCACCCCCTTTGTGAATTTGCAGCAGGAAACCAATAAAATGCAAGTCCAAAACCTTTGGTGCTTGGACCCCTAATGCATAGTGTACTGATAATCCTAAATCACCTCTGATATTCTAACGCTAGAAAGGAAGGCCACACTGCTTCAGCTCTAATAATGGCTTTCTCTGTCTGTCCTCTGCCTCAACCATTTGTTTTCATAGGAATCAGTAGATTAAAAGGCTTCGCTGAATAGCACAAGTAAATATCCCATTAGTGTGGCTTTGCTTAAGGCCTGACAAAGACCTCAGTGTAATGCCTGCCTTGGCTTTGTGGAGCAGGTGCATTTGTCCTTCCATCCCCGAAACAGCTCTGGGCCAAAATTCCCAACGAGAGGTGCAGCGGTCATCCTAACTATTAATGGACATGTTCAAAGACACACATCTTTGTGCTGTGATGTTTTTTTCAGAACTTATTCCTGTACAGTCAGTGGGTTTTGTTCAGTAATGTTTGGTAACATTGGTCTAGAGTGAATTTTTCATTTTGTACATTTTAAACTTTATTTTTTGTCCTCCTTTAAATGGAATAGGTTTGACAGCATGACAAAGCTGCATTAGACAAAGTCAAAACTGTGTTTGTGTAAAGGAACTTTCACAATGAGGAAACCACATTATACAGTCTTTTATTCATTAAAAATGATTAGTTTTCAGACTTTTGAGTTCTTTATTTGTGGCAGTCTGTTCAGTGTCTAACAGTTGCTTGCAATGTCTGTATATTATACCTGTGGCATGAATTAGTTTGTCCTAAATCAAACTGAGTACAACAGAGTTGATGTCTTTTTCATGTAGATTGGGTGTATACATATACTTTTTTTAAACATCCTAAAGACTAATGACTTTTTAAAAAAGTAATTAAAATGTGTTTCTGTTGCTTTTCTTCTATAAAGTATGAAAATATTTTTAAAAACTGTGCAAAATGGTTTCTAGTACCAAAAAAGCCAGACAAAACATTCTGTAAACAAGCCAGAGGTCTTGACATAGGAGTTTCAGAAGGAAACAGCTCACATTTCCACATTCTCAGTTATATATAAATGAATAAAATACCTATCGTGGAGGAAAAAAGATAAAGATGTCTACTACATGAACAACTGTATTGAAATGCATTAAAACAAGCAAATTAAGAATGATCATAGCTCTCAGCTATGTTTCCTAACATGTAGCTTAAGCACTTAATTACTTTCTCAGCCACAAAGGCATCCAAGTTATTTCAGTTCATTTCATGTCACCCTATTTATAAATGCGTGTGAGCTACTGTTCAAAGCATAGTAAGGTGCACATTTAAAAAATAGCTACAATACCTTAAAAGTTCTTTTCCTATGTAACCATGCCTGCAATCTTAAATGTCAAAACATGATACTGAATAATTTTATACAACTGATTTGCCAAACGTGCACAGTTGACGTTCACTGTTCTCCATGCTAAGCCTGTCAGGGCTGGACTGCATATGGCACATTTGTGAGTCTCCTGGTTCCGGCTCTAATCCTCATGCCCTCTGTTGTGTGCTGGCTTTGGTCTGCATAACGAGGGTGATGTCACCTCCATCATCTTGTATATCGGAGCCAGGAGGCCGAAATGGAGACCACAGACGTCATAAAGACACATGAGCACGAGTCTCGTCCGGCTGAGCTCGAGGCATCACTTGCTAGATTACAGACCAAATTGGGAGCCAAGATCGAGAGCAGTCCCACCCATCACTTTCAAATTACATGTTTACTTCTTACACCAGGCGTTTTAAACATATTTTTACAGCAAAACCAGAGGGTTGCTGGGTTCCTCGCTACTCCCAGAAGGCAGAATTGTAATTTGCGCAGAGTCAGTGACTCGCCGTATCGACGCCAGAATACTGTGGCCCTTGGCAAACAACACAGGCCTCTTTCCTTGGCTGGATCCTCGGGCTCAAAGGAAGAACTGGCGGCTTTGGCACCACGATCAGGGTCAAGGTCAAGTTCACATGGAGCAAAGCCACTTTCTTCTACCGTGGGCAAACACGTCTGTTTTAAGTCCCAGAATCCAACAAGTTTCCCTTTGTCACTTGCCCTGTTTGAAGCGCAAGCTTCATCCCACTGACTGGCAAACAGCCTGACATTCATCTTATACACCAGCACAATAAATACCATCAACATGTTTTATTAGAAAAGCTCTTAATAGAGTCTCTGGGACTATGGCCGGTTGATTCCATGATCCCTGTGTTTTTCTTTTGTCTCGTTTATTGTCCCAGTTTTGACAAGCATATTTCCCACTCCAAAGGTTTTCCTGTCTTGAAAGGAACACAGTTCTGCTGTTTAGACATAGGTCACACGATTACAGTCTGCTTGAAAGTGAGATTCTCACGCTAGTCCAGCAGCTAGTCAGCTTTATCAGTGTTGACTTTCATCTCTGACTCAAATCTGAGCCATTTTTGATTTCGTCTTCCTGTGGTGCAGACATTTCCATTTTGGGGGGGACACATACAAGACATGGTCATCTACTATCTAATCCTTCACCAATTCACATACCAGATATTGCCATGATGGAACAGGGGGTCTACACTTGTAACCGAAGTGGTTACAGCATCTAAGATTACATAAAAGCATAGTTTTTTTCTCCTCCGAATCATAAGGGGGTCTTGGAGTTTGCTTATGTCCATGAGTTGCAGTAGAAGTCAATGTAAACTTGCTCTCTACTTTCAGTCTCCTTGTTGGTAAACCTTGTAGGTTTACACCCTTTATAAATACATTTGGTTTGATAGATTGAAGGCCTGATAGCTGCCACCTGACATTTCTTTCACTTGTTGTCTTGGGTTTTAAGAATGAAGGCAATACTAGGCCTTTAGTCTAGCGTCTACTCCGGCTTACATTTGAAAAAGGTACTCTAGTGGGGATTGAGTTTTGGGGAAAAGGGGAGGACGAGGTGCTCTAGAGGTGGCAGAATTTGTCGATAGCACTGTATGTGTTGCTGTACAGCCAGCCCTCAAGAGCTAGTCCACAACCAGCATTCTTCATCAGGATCTACTCTAAGCTTCCCCTACTTCTCCAACTGAGACCTTCTTTTGAGTTTTCACAAATGAAGGACCTTGGTCTAGCATCTACTCAGAGTTACATTTGATAACACTATTCTAGAGGGGATTGCCTGCAGGGGAAACTGGGGAATGGGGTCCTTTAGAGGCCTCGATTAGCTGCACTAGTCAATGAACTTGTGCGTGTCGCCGTAGAGCCAGCGCTGAGGCGGCAGGGAGGCCTCGTTCAGGTGGCTGCACTGGTCGCTGCACTTGCAGGACTGGATGAACATGACAGATCTCTCGAAGTTCTCACCGTCTGGGCAGGTGAAGGACACAGAGGCGGTCCGGGTGCGGCGCGGGGAGCAGCAGCGGCCATCCCGGCACACGCCACAGTAGTTGGGTCGGTAGAGGCGCGAGCTGCGGCAGCCTGCGTAGTGGAGGCGCAGGGGCTCCGGAGACTTCTGGGTACGGGAACATTTCCGTCCCTTCTGTTAAGGCAACAAGCAGAAAATAGGAGAGATTACTGCCCACTTCAGTGTTACAATGCTGTAAAGTTTGGAATCACTTAATAACGTTTTATTCAATGTTTCAAGTTTTTTGGGAACAACAGTTATTTATACACTTGCAAATCTAAATTTTGGGTAGGCCTACATTTTGTTTATTTAATTTATAGTAAAAAGCTATTCATTTTTCAACATCAGGGAAAAATATATATTTCACAAAAAGTTACACAGAAGCCTCAACAACTAAATATTATTGTTTGATATTTAGGTTGTTTATTATAGCTTCAAGTCTTTTAAGGAGACTTGCATTCAATTTCTCAAATAAATCTGCAGGGATATTGCTCCACACTTTCAAAGTTCAGTCTTAGAAGTTGGTTGCATTTTCTGCTTCTCACATCCAAGTAATTCCAAACATATTCAGTGATGTTGAGGTCCAGACTCTGGGGTGGTCAGTCTATTGTTCTGAGAACACCAGCAGCTTCTTTGTTAGGTTTAAAATTTTCTTCTTTTTTGTCTAGTTCTAGATTCTTGACAGCTACACATCCTTTCAGAACCATAGAGTTGAGTTGTCATCTCACAGTGGAAGGATGGACAAAAACATCTATCAAAGATGAAAGCTTTAAGTACTGTTTATCTGACTCCTGTTTTTCACTTGATTTCCTTCGACTTTCTCCTTCCTCATGACAGTGGGTTATCTTTTATCTAATCTCCTCAGAAATATCTCCTGAAAAATGAATAAGTTGTACTTAATGACTGTTTTGTCTGGGAAATAAATAAATGAAGGGTGGTCTCTGACTTGCACACAATAATAATGAGAAGAATAAAACTATCCGGTGCTACGCACTGACTGACCAAACTTATTAGCGAGAACAGAAATATTTAGACTCCTAACTGGATATGTTTTAAAAACACACACAATATTAATATTTCAGCATTACTGAAGCACGAAAATTGTACATTTACTGGAATTTACATCTCAGTGGTCCTCCCCGTTTGTCAGGCTGCCATTGTAAATGAGAATTTGTCCTTGGTTAACCAGGTAAAATAAAGACCTCACTTCTAAATAAAACCAATATCACCAATGTGAAATCCAAACAAGCTGCTTAGGTATGAATGACAGGTTGTTGACTTTCATTATATTTATAACTGTCAAGCATTAATATAGCCCTGACACCACCGACCCCTAACATTTTATATAACAACAAGTGCTCCAAAGTTTTAGGATTAGGACTTAGTTACAATAAATAAAAAAACTCTCAGCTACATTTAATGTTTTCCATCAAGATACAGTTATTGACATGACATACAATAACTTCTCTGAAAACAGGTCAGACTATAAAAAAGATGAAAACTATTACAACCTATTTATCAAAGATCTGTGATGTTACTGTGATTATCAAACTGTCTCTGCAATTACAAAGACAGGTTAAAGGCCTGCATCATAGTTTTCAGCTTCAGTCCTGTGTTGCAGAAGTCTAGCTCTCTCACTTCGGGACATAAAATGTTTGATAATTAGTTAATAAGATGAAGATTCTTCATCCTATTTCAGTTATTTATTTTACTGCCCATCAAAACGTTTGGGGACACTTGGCTTTTTAAAATATTTTAAACACATGAGCATGCTTTTCTTTACACATAACACATAAAAAAAAGCTGTTAAGATCTTGTCATCATCCTTTTTAAAAACTGAACAACTTTTGAAAAAATGCCAAAGCTCATTTTATTGTGATGTCATCATTCATCAGCACTCTCAACCTTTCATTTTCAGGAGATATTACTGAGGAGATTAGATATAAAATAATCCGCTTGGAGTTCCCAGAACTGGAACTCCAAAACATACAGAGAAAATGGGACCTAACAACTGTGCAAGACCTGGTAGACCACCAAAACTACCCCTTCAGATAAACAGTCCTTAAAGCTTTCATCTGTGAGAGAGAGGAGAAAATCAAGCTCCACTCTTATTTCAGATCTGAAAAAAACACAGGTGTTTCTGTCCATCCTTCCACTGTGAGAAGACAACACTCTGGGTGTTTACACTTTGCATTAACATGTTTTTGCTAAACGGATTTCCCTAGATCCCATGAAAAGCCAGGTGTAAACACCCCCAGGACTCATTATGAATGGATTATGGATCACTAAAACCACATTCAGAGGTGGTCAGAGACAGATCTTGACCACATTTAACACAAGTGTAAATGTGTTTTTGTCATTCGTGTACAACTACATGAGCGGAAATGAGTGAGAGGACAAACAATGATGGAAAGATTGAGTATGCACGAGGCTGAAGTTTGCCCAAAACCTAGAGCCTTCATGCATAACAGGCGAATGGAAGTGTCCAGGCCAAGCTTGTCCACCTGTATCGTAACGGGGAAAAAGTAAACAAAAATTAAACAGAAACAAAATGTGTTGACATGCTTTTTATGTCGGAAAAGTATCAGATGTCTACAATCGGAGCCAAATTGGGTACGCATTTTAGTGAAAAAATGTACATGGAATCTGACCAAAGCTTATCCAGATATGACCCGGACACGAAACACAAGGTGTAAACAGACTATGTGGGTCTGAAAGGATGTGTAGCTGTCAAGAAATTAATGAGAAAAGGAAACCGACAAAAAAGAAGAAAATCTGCAAATCAAACTAAGACGTTGCTGATGTTCGCAGAACACAATGGACTGACCACCCCAGAGTCCAGACCTCGACATCACTGAATGTGTTTGTTATCACTTGGGTTGTGAGAAGCAGAAAATGCAAACAACTTCTAAGACTGAACTAAAACATCCCTGCAGATTTCTTTGAAAAACTGAAAGTAAGCCTCTTGAAAAGAATGGAAGCTATGATAAAGGCAGAGAGTGGACAAATTTTATATTATATTTAGGTGTTGAGGATCGTTACGTGTATGTTTTCTACTCCTTTCCTAACACAGAAAATGTAATCACTTGTACTTAATGGCTGTTTCAGGTGGTCTCTGACTTTGTACAGTAATGTATACAGTGCTAATATAGTTTGGAATATAAAACTGTCAGATCACTACTTAAAAAAATGCCCTCCATATGCAGGAAGACACTCACTTTGCATAATACACTAAAATTTCCCCAGCCTTTTGACAGGCAATGTGTAGTATATTGCAGTCTTGTCCAGACTTCTTCTGAATTTGTGAGGACACAGTATGAAAGCTGATGAATGGAGTACCTTTATAGGCACGGCCATGGAGTTACAGGGTCTGATGGTGCAAAGGCGAGTCTCCTTCACCAGCTTGCACTGAGCGTTCTCGTTGGTGACACGAGAGGACAGCCCCATGCCACAGCTCCGAGAGCAAGGCGTCCAGCTGGTAGTCTGGGTGATGCACTGCCTTCCCACTTTCTTCCAGGCTGAAGAGAAGGGAGACAGAGAGAGACAGATATATAGATAGAGAAGAGTGAAATAGAGGAGGGAAAAGGAGAGAGCAGGAGGGAGGGAGAGTAAGTACACAAGCACCATTCACAAAACAGGCAACACTGACGCATAGAGAAGGTGATTACGCAGTGTAGGAAAAAGCTGGGTGACAGCAGTATGTGCTGTTTGAGGCCTGCGTGTTTGGCTTTGGTTCACAAGGCTCCACTGGAAAATGCTCACACAGCAGTCAAAGACTGAAACACCCACTGAAGACAGGTTTACGTTTTATGATTTTTTCAGACAAAAATCTATAAATGATTCTAACAAATTCTTAGATTATTGGTGGTCATTAACATGTTCAGGGACCAAAAACAGCTTCTGTCAGGGATCTAGCAACAGCAGAAATTCACAGACGTGACCTCTGCTATGATGCACAGCTACCCTTGGGATGATGACCAACTTCTGATAAATGACCCAATAGGCCATCATCAGAGATATCTTTATCATTTAATCTATCTGCATTTTATCTGGCATGCCGCACATGTGAATAACTCTGTAATAAAAGATAGTAGAATATTATTCATAAGCACCTTTCAAGTCACCTAAGGACGCTGTACAAAAAACATTATAAAACACCTAAACAACATCATAAAATCCTAATCTCCATTTTTTTCCCTAGTATCCTCCCCAATTTAGTCAAGTTAGCTAGCTAAGTCTCTCCCCAATCACACAATTCTATCAGTGCTAGGAGGGTGAAGGCTAGCACATTTCCTCCAAGCCACATGAAGTGCCATCACAAACAGCAAATTACCAGCATAATGTTACTGGACAGCTCAACATGATTAGAGGAGAGCACTAACTAATCATAATAACGTAATAACTGATTAGTTAGTGCTCTCCTCCAAGCGTGTTGAGCTGTCATTGCATCAGCTAACAGACGACTGTGCTGGCTAGCATTGCACTGAGTGACGGGGGGAGCGAGACGGACATCCTACCCACCCAGAGAGAGCGAGGCAAATTGGGCTCTCTTGGACTTTCAGCCACGGATGGCTGTGGCATCTAGGAATTGAAGTTCAAGTTAAATAATACTAAGTAAATAAATACTAAATACATACTAACTAATACTAAGATCCTAAGATCCATAAGATTAACAAATAAAATAAAATAAAAAAAAAAAATAAATAATTTAAATAAGATGGGTTTTCAAATTAGATGTAAAAAGAAAGGCATGCATTTTCTGGTGAAGACTGCTTAAAAGCTTTGGGCCTGCAACACCTGAATGCTCTATGATTTACAATATGTACTTTAGAGGGAGCGACCATGTGCAGATGGGTTTCCGAGAAACGAAGAGTGCGAGTGGGAAAGTAAGGCTGGAGTAAACTACATCGATAGGAAGGATCCAGGCCATTTAAAGACAAGTAAAGTACCATGCATGGTACAGGGAGGCAATGTAAACATTTCAAGGCAGGGCAAATATAATTCCAGGCTCTAAGGATAAGAACAGAGTCTGTAATTAAATGTGCTTTTTTTTATTTTTGTCTTTTTGGTATTTTTAAGAAGCATGTGCTAATGGCTAACTAGCCTGTAAGCTAGCTGGCTATCATGTCCTTGACCTAAATTCCAATGACGTCCATGTTGAGTCTATCAAAATAGCATTTACATTTTTTACATACAATAGCACAGTCTGATGCAGATTAATATAGTTATAATCAAATTACATCAAGACATTAAAAGGGTCATAAAGAGGGTCATGCCAGTTCACCTAGCGACTGTCCAGTACATGGATTCCTGTAAAACAATCAAGCAAAAACTAACATTTATCTAATGCAACTTTGAAAAATGATTCAGCTTCAAATGTTTCATGCAGAAATAAATAACAAAAAGAAATGTAAAAATCGTTTGGTAATTGTTTTTATTGGACATCCTCCAATACATAAATGAACCTACAGTAGAAATTTAAATTATGAAATTAGAAAATTGAAAGCAAAATTTTATTATTTGTAGCATTTATACACAGTTAACTTTACACCCAGGCAAACTTTAAGTAATAATAACTAAAACAAAATGAATTTTGAGCACTGATGTGTCTTCTTTTTTATGAAACTCGATCATGAGACTGGACAAGCCCTAGGTGAGTTGGCGTGAAATGACCTAAAAGTGAAAGCCAAAGAAAGGAAATTGTAACATTATGCTATCTTTGAACTGAAGGTGCAAAGGTATCTTCCGTCTCTATGACTGTGCAGCTTTCTCTCGCAATCTTGTTGGCAAGCTGCAAGGCGATGGTTAAACTACATAGCATTCACTGTGTGCTAAAGATAAATCATGGTGGAATGCTGCAGTGGAAAAATTCTTATCGAATGGTATGGATGAATAACCCATAAAAAAAGACGGATTGGTTTTTGTCTCCCACAGAATACAGCCAAGATTTTATTGGCATCGTTTGGTACAGTGTGGCATGCAATAAACTTATATAAAAGCACTGTTATTGCAGAGCAATCCACACACAGACCTTTCCACAGAAACTCACAGCTCACAGTGTGCCCGATTACGCATCCACTACCAGTACACACATGCACACGCCCAGGTCAGACAACACACCATCCCTCACCTGCCAGGTGCTTGTGACTGTGCGGTTTCTCCCACTTCCTCCCCACCTCCACCAGCTCGTTGCTCAGGGTGTCGTCTGGCCGACGGGGGTAAGGTTTAGGGTAAAGTTTAGGGTACAGCTTAGGGTAGGGCTGGAGGTGAGGATAGATGTATGGGGGCGGTTGCAGGCGTCTGGAGACAGGGGGCAGCACCGAGGAGCCGCGGTGGCAGTCCACACTAAGGCAGCACTGACCAGGAACCTTCACCAGCCTGGGCGAGGGGCAGGAGGGTGAGGCCAGCGGGACGTCGCTGGGGCAGAGGGGCACACATCCCACCGCCCCATCGATACATGTGCACTGATGCTTACAGCCAGCACGGAAATTCTCACCATTCTGATACATGCGGCCGTTGTACTCACACGAGCGGCCCTCCAGTTTAGCTGAGAGAGGAAAGACAGGAAAGAGATACTGTAGAACAATAACTCATTTGTGTGTGTGTATATATGTGTGTGTATATATAGTAATTGCAAATTAGTGTTGAAAATTCAGCACAGTTGAAGCAGATACTGGGTTGAGAACCAGCTAGCATAGCTAGCAAACAAGATCCAGCTGGAACTTTTATTTAAAGCTAACAAATAAAGCAAAACCTCTTTACAGCAACATCTTTGCAGTCTCAAGGACACAGTTTAACATGGACATTTTATGTCGTTATACAAAGTCTAGCAGCCTGAGCTTCTGGCCACATTATCACATTTCCTAGCCATGTTCTTCTTTGAAAATTCAGAGCAATTCATAAGCATTTCAAAGAGATCTGTGCCAAAGAGTCTTTTCAGGGCATGTAAGTATTTTTTTTCTGGTTACTTAGCTGTTTGTGTAAGTCACAAAATCCAACTTTATATTACTTTAACCACCATCTTGTTGCTGACAGTGTAGCACCGTTTTGAAGCAGGTGACAAACTCACAGCAAGTTTTAACTAGGCTTAAGTACAGCCTCTGTAGTGCAGAGTTAGCTATAACATGGCATTACAACTAAGCCACCTTCAGTAAACAAGGACAAATAAAGTAAATTTTGTCTTTTTTGTTCCATATGTTGACACAGATTTTAAAATGAAAAAGAGGAAACATCTGAAAACAGAGATTTTACTACTTTTTGTATCTTTTAGATGTATTTTGCTTTTAAATAAGTATATTAATGAAATTGATATTAGCAGCTGGTAAAGAAATTTACAAAATTTACATGTTCCGTATTTTACTGATGTGTGACTTTTTTATTTGCTGTCCTACACTGGACAAAAATAAATTTGCCATTGTTTGACACACAGTCTCATTTCAGTTTTTATGTATAATTTCATGTGTGTGTATGTATCGATTGAGCCATCTGTCTGTTTTAAAGGTAGATAATATATAATGCAGTATACACTTATACAAACACTGAATTATATTGAATCAACTTTGTTCGCACTAGTTCATCAGACATTTCTAGCAAGTGTTACAACTAACCCTCTGTCTGTTACAATTAACCCCACTTATGGGGTTAAAGGTAACATTGCACTTCCTGTTTTTTTTCAGTGGAATTGTACATGAACAGTAAGTGCTAGACACAAAGTTCAAGTGTTCATTTGTAGCAGAGATGTATATGTTGCTTGTATAAAAACATGATTATTCAAGCTTAAATATTTTTTAAATTATTTTGCAAAAAACAAAATGCATTAGTTTGGGCCCTGCTCTCCCCTACGATACACAGAGCTGCTTATGAAAAGCAAAAAATAAACACATCTGTGATATTGTGTTGTTACACATTATAAATGCTTTATAGATGCTCATTTTCTTTCACTAACATTTCAACTTTTAACATTCAGTTCAACTTTGAATATCTTTAAAATGCAGCTGAACTTTAAGTGAACCTAATACTAACCTTAGCATCCACCTAAAACCTAAATCCAGTCCTAACCATATCCCTGATATTGTTGGTAATCAACTGAGCATTATAAGAAGAGTGATCTGGCGCAACCTTGCTGACCAGAGAATTCTGTACTTTAAAACAACCAATAAAATAGCTGCAATAATCATGTCTTTATATTAAATTATAGAAATGTTTTTATTTTATCTGAATGTCTGTTAGAATGAAGTACAAACTGAAAGCTGTTCATTTCAGATGTGTAAGCTGCCTGTTGGTTAACTCCTTTGTTCTGATTTGAAGATAAAATAAAGACATGGGTGCTGCAGCCTTTTAATTGGCTGTTTTAAAATTAAACATCCTGTTCTTTGTGCACTTAGACAACAATGCAGCCATTATTCCTTTCAGCCCTGATGAAGGCCTGGCCTCTGTGCCAAAACACGTTGGTTACAAATAAAGTGTGGAATTCTCCGGCCATCAAGTGTTGCTGGATTCACTCCAATCGACTGAGCACTACCAGATAGCTTGATATCAATTAAAGCATCTGTAGCTAATCTACACTCTTAAAAAGATGGTTCCTCAAGGGTTCTTTAGTAAACAAAATGGTTCTATGTAGAACAATGAACACAGGAAACCTTAGCATGATTAAAGGGTTCTTTGCATCATGAAAGGGTGCTTCAGACTGAGAACCTTTTTGAAAAGGGTTCAATACAGCACCAAAAAGGGTTCTTCTATCGTTATGATGTCAAACTTGTAACAATAGAAGAATCCTTTCAGGTGTTATATAGAACCCTTTTCATAAATGTTCCATATAGAACCATCTAAAGCACATTATCCATTTATCTGAAGAACACTTTTGTAATGCAAAGAATCCCTTAATCATGCAAAGGGTTCTTTGAGTGTTGCTGGTAGCACATAGAACCATTTTCTTTACTAAAGAATCCTTGAAGAAGTATCTTTTTTAAGTGTGTACAGGAGACTACCAAAGTAAAGCATGGACAAATTTTTGTTTTTGGTTTAAATTCAGTCACATATGTTGGCATAGCAACATCACTTCATCACATTCCACTAGTTAATACTTTGAAAACAAACCTGCCAAAATCCTACAGGTACACAGTGCCATGTATACCATACAACAGGCCTTTATGGTATGGTATGGTATCATACAATTGAAAAGCAGCAACAGTAAGTTGGCGATGCTGCTCCTCAGAACATTGTAGATTCTGCTGCTGTATAGTTCACATTCTATAAAGTCTATACCTCATTAAAATGCAGGTCATTGTTGCTGTAAATGAAAACAGCTCAGTGAGATGACCTGTTAAACTACAGGAAGAAAGGAGATTGAGTGTAATTAAAGAGCAACAGAGATAGAAACCCACTAAACTGAGCTGAGAGGGAGATTATTGCAGCTATTTTATCTGTGCTTTTATGCAGCCGGTTCTAATCTTAGCACAGAGTGGAATTTTGACTTGTTTACCGAAGGTGTTTGGTTTGAGTCCCACTGTGGGTCTGCTGAACATGCCCAGTTTCCCCTTCAAAAACCCCTCTACCCAAACCCACATAGCTCCTTTATATAGCAACAGCCCTCATACATATAAATACCCGCGAGTGTATGAGGCAACTCACTTGGCTGGATACAGAGATTCAGCCTGGCTCCAGATGGAACTGAGCAAGAGCAGCACTACATGTCAAACTGTTAAATGTAAAACTGTTTATCTCCTTAAAATCCGAGGCTTATTATATACTAAGCCTTATTATTCAATGACTACAGGGAATTCAGTGCAAACTGGCTGAGCTATTCTTAGGTTATAGACGTTAGGTTATAGAAGGTCAATAAAAAAACGTCTTCAGGCAGAAGAAGAAAACCGATACGGATGGTCTTACACTAATAAATCAAGGGGCCTGTTTACACCTTGCATGAAGATGCGCTTTCAGTGATTAAGTCATGTTTGGATTTCACTTGACCACCTAAAAAGCCAGGTGGAAACCACCCTGGGATACACTGTGTTTGGATTACAAGCGGATCACTCAAACCACATTTGAAGGTGGTCAGAGATGGATCTTGACCACATTTAAAGTCAATTTGAATCCAAAATGGACCCTTTTCACCTTGTTAGCTCATGTCCATAGTCACATTAAGCACAATCCATTGTGTCATATAATTCAAAAGACCTGTTGTTCTGTAAACTTTTTTTTCTACTTCTTTTCCCTTTCGTCATGAAATACTCTTGCAATGTAAAGAGCGCCTGTCATTTTCAAATACTAATAAATACAATTTTAAAAAGACCAAAAAACTGAGTTTTTCTAAAGACTGAGACAGTTTGAATAAATCCAAACCCTAATTCTTTCATCCCAGTCCACTACACTGACTTACCCCTGCAGATTCCATGGGTACTGCCCACGTCGTTGCCATAGTTACACTCCAGCCCTTTATGGTGGTCACATGGTCGGCCCTCGTGGCAGTCCTGGTTGAGCTGGGCGGCACACACCTTACAGCACCCGCACCCGTCAGGCACCAAACTTACACCCGGCGGGCACACGGGGCGCTCCAGGGGGCACTCACACACCCTCGGACACCCAGCTGTCACCTGCTGGAGAGAAAGGATGTGAGATACCACAGGCTGTGATAAAGGAGATGGAAGAACCATGTTATTGTGATGGTAAAGTGAAAGGCTGATATAAGCTAGCTAGCAACTTGATTTCCGCATGTTAATAGGTGGAGAAACTGTATTCTTTAAACACTCTGATGGTTTCTTTACATACAAGACACACAGCCTCACCTTTACATTCAGTGAGAGGATATACTTCACAAATCTCCTCTTGTCTGTCTATCACTGCCTTTTACATTCTATTAGCGTGTAACTGCTACATAGCTTGTAACTGCTGCACTGCAATCAATGACAATTGTATGGTGTTACAGGTCACGGGTATAAAAAAGGTTATCTCATTGGCAAAATGAGGTCAAATCAAATGTCGTACTGCCTGAAGGCTTTGGGCAGCCCTGCCATAGAGATTCCATAGATGTCCCAAACCCAACATGAAGTTAGTGTGGGTATAGCTTGGGAACCACTAGTTTGGTATTGTGTAGGAGATTTAACAGTGTACAAGCTGGGAAACCACAACAGGTACAAGACTGGGACTGAGAACCATTCATTTATTATAATAACACCTACAGTCTTCACAATGGTGTATCTGCACTGCTTCCACATGTAGGTCAACCCTCTAAAAAGCATTCCATTTAATGTTGTGAAGTATATTAAATTATAGTAAATAATTACAAGAAATGAGATCATGATCATGTTATGTCAACAAATTCCAAGTGCAAAACTACAAAAATGACTTAAGACAATTAAAAACATCACTAAATAAGTTAAATCCTCTCATAAAAAGGTTAGATTTATGATGATTTCACCAAAGTATGATTTTTTTGTAGTGACGTAGGCCACACTGCATACAGTTGTATGCAAAAGTTTGGGCAGCCCTGGTCAAGGGAGATGTTTTGTTGATTTTAAGTAAGAAAGAGTTAACACATCCTCTGCAGAGAACACATTTTTATGCACACTTTCTGTTCATTTGTTGAATTTCATATACAGGGAAAAACTAAAACATAAAATGTGCCCTGTGCAAAACTTATAGTTATTTTTTTTTTAATAAATAGAAATGGTACACTAAAATTAGCAGGAAGTCATTTTTATGATTATTCCATGCAGAAAGCATTAACTTATTGTCACTTAGAAAGTCAACAAAACATTTCATTTGATTGAGGGTGTAGAAAATGTTTACATATGACTGTTTATATATTGTTTACAACCATACACAACCCCACTTCATTTATCTGTCCTTTAGAAAGAAGGGAACCTAATTTGCACTCTAACTGTCAAACACCATTGGACTCTACAGCAGCCCTCTTTGTACTCAATAGAGTACTTTAGACTGAAGGTCATGGGCTTTATTACACACCCTAGTCATAGTCATTGCGCCGCACCTCAGAAGGTTACTGCAGAAAGTGGAGGGGAACTCCGATGTAAGTGAGCAAATGTTGGGAAAGTATGCTGAAAGTCCATCCAGGCACCACATGTTTAGATTAATCGAGGTGTACATAGCCTAATGCAATATGAAAAAAAGGTAGAGCTGGAAACAGCACATGATCCAGAAAAAGGGCCTTCAATTCTTCTCTTTCTCAAGCTCAAGTCCAGATATAAAAATGTCTTTTATGAGTAAAACTCTGTGAAGAACTATATCACCAACTCAATATAAAAAAGACCAACAATTAGCACTTTGAGTGCTCCAAGGTTAACTGTGCTAGCATTTTGTTGGTTGATCAGACCAACAATAGCGAAGTTCAAATGTTAAAACAGCTAAAGCTGGTGAACTTTTGGCTCAGCCTACAAATTAGATGTTCAATCCCTAAAACCATGATAAAACAGCAAATTAAACCCAGTCTATCCGAGCTCTGAGCTTTCACATACATAGAACACTAAATTCAGTTGTCCACTACACTTTCTCTTTAGAGCAAATTGGATTTTTGCTAACACTCTGTAAAGGGTCAACCTAGCAATAGTTAGCAGTTAATAGGTCAAATGGCTCTGCCCAGTCTGGGAAATGGGAAATACAGTACTGCACAAAAATCTAATAGAAAAAAAGACTTCCAGTCAAAACAGCCATTAAGTACAAGTTATTCATTTTTCAGCATTAGGAAAAAAGCAGAAAACACATATTTAACAGACAGGTTACTACTGAAGTCCAAAGAGGCCATACGGTACACTCTCAGAAAAAAAAAGGCATGAAACTTTCACTGGGGCAGTTCCCCTCTTGTCACTGGGGTGGTACCCTCAAGGGTACATCTCAGTACCTTTAGTCAGGGAACATAATTGTACCATAATCCATTGAAATTATATTTTCTAAATTGTATTGACTCCACACCCCCCATCTCATCTCCAGGCTTTTTATTTTGTTGTTAGGTTGTGAAACATTAGGTTATGAAAAGGTACAAACACATACTTTTCACTTTAAGGTACACAATTTGACCTGAAACCCCTGTTGTACCTTTGAGGGAACATTTACATTGTTTGTATTTTGATGAGCAAAAAATGTACCTGCACAGCACCTTTATTTCTAACAGTGTAGTAATCATTTTCTGAATTGTTAACTTAAGATCATGACTTAATTATCTTGTGATATCAAGATTACAAAAGTTATTTTCTCAAGATCACAACTTATCTTGAGATCACAAGACAAAAAAGTGTGATGTTGAGAAAATAACTTTTGTTATCTTGAGAGCACAAGACACTTAAGTAGTGATCCCAAGATAACAGTCCAAATATTATAACTACCTCATGGCCTCTCTGGAATCTGTAATGTCTTTTTCTCAGTAAGGGCTTCTTGACAGCTACACATCTTTTCAGACCCACAGCGTTGAGTTGTTTTCTCACAGTGGAAAGATGGGCAGAAACACCTGGACGGTTGTTAGGAGTCCCAATTTCTCTGTAGCTTTTAATAATCTTAACAAACAATCTTATATGTAATCTCTTACATCTAAATATCTCCTTTAGGCATTTTAGGTGCACATGAAAGAAAAACTGAAGGCAGCTTGTGAGTTTGCGTAGCTGCTTGTGTGAATGTTAGTGTCTTTTTGACAGGAAACATCATGTCAGTGACACAGCCATAACTGGCTGGTTTTAATATTGGAAAAATCTGAGTGGACAAATTAAATACTCATAGTTTTGATACTATCTGTTTTGTTCCTGGAAATGAAATAAGCAAAAGAGTGGTCTCTGACGTTTGAGTACTTTTTAAAAATACATTTCTTAACCCCTTAAATGACCAGGACCCACCGGCAGGTCCAAAGTTATAAGACACAATTCTATAACCAAAGAAAAACTCAACCTGTTTGCAGTGAAGTCCATGTAGTTACTGAATAATAAGCCTAAGTATGTAATAAGCCTGAGATTTTAAGGGGTTAAAGAAAAGAGTGCAGCCAATCAGATTTGTTCTATGAAGTGGGCAGTAAAACTGAACCAGGTCCAGACTCTGTGGAACCAAAGGCAGCTGGACTCTTATCTTATGTTCACTAAGCCATGGGTTCACATTCAGGCAAATGAGCCCGGTTATATTGGTGTAATAGACTGCTATCAACACAGCACCGACCTGCCAAAAGGTTCTAACACAACTTGAGTGCTCCACACTCTGGAAAGTATTTCTTTTAAGCAAACTTTTAAATGGAAACTCAATATCCATCAAAAGGATGGACAGACAGGCCCTTCACACCACCCACTCAACCTCTCACACTGTGTAGTTTGGTGTTTACCCTGCTCTAACACACCTAATTCAATGTACTGTCTATTCACCAAGCCCGTCATGACTTGAGGCCTGCATGTAAAAGCAGGGAAAACACAAAAGTGAGCCGCAAGACTGTGACTGAGATCTTTTCATTTATTAGATTTCCAGTAAGGCCAGGATGAATCATTGTAGCGAAGGGCAAAATGTTCTATGGCTGTGTTGTCTACTTTAAAGAGCACTTTTTCCTGATTTCTATTAGCTATTTTGGATAACTCTGTAGCTGTTAGCTCTCTGTAAGCCAAGTCTATGAAAAAGTCTGCACTAACCCCCTCACCATGAGAACATGAGTTATTTCAATCCCTACACTGGCTCTGGGGAAAGCCTGTGGCAGCAACGCCCCCCACACTGGAAATATATCACTTTGACTTTACTTGATTCAAATGTGTACATCATTTTGCCATGAATAGAATATCGTCACTGTCAGGACAAAAGCTCATATCTCCATTATTGTCGTAACAGAATCTGAAAACACCAGCTGTCTGAAAATTTTAAGATGAACTGACCAATAAAAATGCTCCAAAATAGAATAAACTCTTGTAACTTTGACTTTCATTGAAATTTTGGTCCCTTTTTTCCTTCTCCTGTAAAGTTGCCGTTTCCAAAATATGACATTTTGTTCCAAATGTGATCATGTCAGTCTTAGAAGTTGGTTGCATTTTCTGCTTCTCATGATCCAAGTAATCCAAACACATTCAGTGATGTTGAGGTCTTAACTCTGGGGTGGTCAGTCCATTGTTCTGAAATCTCCAGCAGCTTCTTTGTTTTATTTCTATTTTTTATAGAAATAAAAAAAATTCTTCTTTTTTCTGTTTCCTTTTCTCAGTAAGGGCTTCTTGACAGCTACACATCCTTTCAGACTCATAGTGTTGAGTTGTCTTCTCAAGGTGGAAGGATGAACAGAAACACCTGTGGTATTTTTCAAATCTGCAGCAAGAATGGAGCTCAATTTTCTCCTCTCTCTCAAAGATGAATGCTTAGGTACTGTTTATCTGATGGGGACAGTTTTGGTGGTCCACCAGGTCTTACTCGGTTGTTAGGAGTCCCATTTTCTCTGTATCTTTTTTTCATCTCTTTAGAAATATCTCCTGAAAATAATTAGCTTCTATTTAAATTCTGTTTGGACTGGAAATTAAATAAAGGGCGGGTGGTCCGTGACTTCTGGACAGTACTGTATATTTTATTAATGTGGAAAAAGTAAATTCATTTTTACCAAAAAACAACACAAATATATACACACACTCGGGGGTCGCCTGAACTCACACACACCTATCTGAGCTCTTCAGATGTCTCCCCTGGACTGGGGATGGCCCTGAGGTTATTCACTTTTGCTCAACCCCCCCACACATATGCAGCCTCCTGGCTGTACCACCATCAACTGGTGCCAAAAGAGGGCTAAAAGCTTAGCTATGGCTATTTTCAGCCTCGGCATGTATGTCATCTTTCATCTCTGTTTATGAACCACTCAGAAGTTCTCCCTGTAACTCTCAGCTGTAGATGATCATATCTAATGCCCAGGACAGGTAGGCTAATCCACCTGTGAAATCTAACCACACACACACATCAGCCAGCTGCCCAAGGATGCAATTTAATATTCTATATTTAACACCATGAAAGAGATGCAAAAAACAAAAATGGGTTGCAATATTTACAGCACATGTAGTTTATTAGCACAAGTTAAACAACTTAATCTTTGTTTTAAAGGTCATCAAGATACAACAGATTATATGAAAAAGTCAGCCCACCAAGAAAGCACAAGCAGAAGGCCATGATGAAAACCTACAACACAATTGTAATCAAAACATACTAGATTTGGTATCCAGGCCACTGTGGACCAACTTAAAGGTCTTTTTTTCCCAAAAAAGCTCACTGTCAAAGTAAACAGATAAACAGTAAACTGATTAACAAGTATGTTGTTAATGAGAAAGGGCACCACTAACTGACCAGAGCTAATGACAAGATAGACAACAAAGGTTATGTAGATGTTGCTGTACATGTGCCTAAACTGAATGAGTGCTACTTATGTTGCTGTGAGCTGAATATGAATAAACATTACTTAGATGTTGCTGTACATGTGCTCATTATGAATAATTGTTACTTAGATGTTGTTATATGTAGGTTGAATGTGAAATAAAAATCGTTAGCTTCATTCTTAAAAAAGATGGTTCTTCAAGGGTCCTTTAGTAAAAACAATTGTTCTATATAGAACCATGGACACCTAAAGAACCATTTGCATGCTTGAAGAGTTCTTTGCATGGTGAAATGGCTCTTTAGATTGATGGACAATGTGTTGTATTTTGTTATAAGCATCACACTGTAAAATATAAGACCCCTTTTTGGTGCTATATGGAACCCTTTTCAAAAAGATTTTACACAGAACCATATACAACACATTCTCCAACAATCTGAAGAACATGTTCACAGTGCAAAGAACCTTTAAACTGTGCAAAGGGCTCTTTGAGTGTCCATGGTTCTATATACTATCGGAAATGCAGTTACAGAACCATTTGCATGATTAAAGGGTTCTTTGCACTGCGAAAGCATTCTTCAGATTGATGGAGAATGTGTTGCAGATGGTTCTATCTAGAACCTTTTTGAATAGGGTTCTATACACCAAAAAAGGTTCTTCTATTGTTACAAATAAAAAAGAACCCTTACAGAAGAATAGAAGAACTCTTTTCAGTGCCATATAGAAATCTTTTATAAAAGGTTCTATATAGGACCTTCTACAGCACATTCTCCATCAATCTGAAGAACCGTTTCACGATGCAAAGAACCCTCTATGCATGCAAAGGGTTCTCTGCATATATATACACACACAGTGAGCTGAATATGAATGCATGTTTTGATTTACGTTACGTCATCATTGTGGGTGGGGCTGCATTCCGACAATCAAATGCATCAAAAGTTGGTGGTCAGTATGACAGTTTAAGAAGACGCACTTTAATGCCAAGGCTGTAGTTCTATGTCTGTAGTTCTCAAGCTCTACGTCACAGCCTGTTCTGTGGATTTACAGTGAGTACAAACTGACAGTGATTTGAAATATTACTCCTTTATTAGCCGCTGATAATGTTCTATTGATGGTTCATTTTAACTGTGGAACCACATTATCCACCACAACCTGTAAGAGAAGAGCCTTCAGCAAAACACATATCAACACATTTCAGCACAGAAGTGCAGATAAGCGCTCATTTAAACGAAGCTGATATCAGCTGAGTTTGGGATGAAGGTTTTTATGATGCACTGTTCTGACCAAACGCGTCCCGTTTTACCAGCAACACAAACTTCTGTTTGAAGCCACTTACCGAGTTAAAAGTCGCGGTCAGGATCAGGAGGAAGCACGTTATAATCCTCATCTTAAACCTCGATGGAGAAAAGCCAGGAAACAAAACCAAAAAAGAAGCCAAAAGATGTTTTGGTGGTGCAGATAATAACGAAACTGCTGTGTCTTAAACACGCCGTCTTAAAACATCGCCCACACAAACTCGCTCCAAGAAGTCCACGAAATAAAACAGCATTTTCGCTTCTCTTCGCTCTCAGGAGAGAATAAAGTTCTCTTCTCCTCGTCAACAAGTCACTTTTATCGGTTTAATCTCGCAGCTACTCTTTATATCGCTGTCATGCGTTCCGCGGAGGCCACGCCCGCTTTAAGTCGACGAGCCAATCAGAACGCGGAAGCCTTACAAAGTGGGCGGGGGGTTCGTGTACGGCTGCCGCTCTGTGGGCGTGGCCACGGATGAATGCAGTCATTCATAAAAATTCAGAATTACTACATACCAAAGAGGACCTGGCTTTACTCTGTTTATTTACATAAAGGTCGAATAAAAAAACATTAGGGCTGCTTTAAAGTCGTTTTCACACTCCTGCCCCTGTCCAACCTCCTGCTTTGTGAAAAGCAAGATAAATATACTCAGCTGTCTCCTGTGTGCTGCATTAATATTGGGACTGCAATGAAAAAAAGTATATCCAGGAATGTCCGCCTCAACTTCTCTTTGAAAAGGACTGGGAGAGATAAAGTATTCCGCTCGGCAGGCAAAGCTGTTCGATATGGACAGAATGTTCTTTTCCCTTATTTATGAAATATTGTGGACGTGACTGGCGTCTGTGTACTGTACCTTCTTTCATGATTTCTCTGTGTATCATTTCATGAATTGCTTGCAGACCAGCTTTTGAAGAGTTTTGTTCCAAAATGCTGTACATCCAATTGCAACAATTTTGCATATAAATTTTTGATAAGAATAACAGCTGAAGAATTACGCAAAACACATTTATTTCTTTAATAAAGGTGTTATTAATCATAATTTAGCACTGACATTTCTCGTATGTGTAAAGCACACTCCCAAAAACATATATATTATGAAAAAAATGATTTGATGAAAAATGATTGAAAGTGATCTATGATGCATTTTGGAACAAAACCCTTCATTTCGTTATCCATTCCATATCACTTGTTCCTGTTAGTCTTTTTCCCTTCATCCCTTTTTCATTACATTCCTCTGTTTCTGTCATTTGCTTACTATTTCATCAGTTTTTGTTTTACTGTGTCCTGCACGTCTTCACACACTTCTTCCTTTCTCACTCACTCATAACCTCAATCACTCATTCACTTATTCACTCAACTGCTAACTCTCCTCACTGATTCGCTCTGTCCCACTCATTCACCCACTCTCTCACACACTCAGCCACTCTGTATCTCTCTCACTCATTAACCCACTCCATCTCGCTCTCCCCCCATGCTCACCTTCTAACTAACTCACTGTCAATTACTCACTTTCTCACTCGCTCACCCATTAACTTTCCTACTCATCCCCTAACTCACATACTCATTCAGCCCCTCACTTTCTATGTATCTCTGACCCTCATTTACTCACTTTCCTACACTCTTCCCCATTCATTCACTTACTTGTCCACTTGGCCTCGTCATTTTGCTTTGGGGGAATCCTCAAGGCCATTTTACCTCAAGTGAAGTTTGTTAGATGAGCCATGGGCGAAGGTGAGGGATCTAGAGGATATAAGTATCGACTTCAGCAGCAAAACTTGCCAAAAAATCATTGAGATTTGATGCAATTCATTTTTCAACTCAGTGAACTCATTCACTCACTCACCCTCCAACGCTTTCACTCTCCCTCTAACTCATTCACTCACTCACCCTCCAACTCATTCACTCTCCCTGTAACTCATTCACTCACTCACCCTCCAACTCATTCACTCTCCCTCTAACTCATTCACTCACTCACCCTCCAACGCTTTCACTCTCTCTCTAACTCATTCACTCACTCACCCTCCAACTCATTCACTCTCCCTCTAACTCATTCACTCACTCACCCTCCAACTCATTCACTCTCCCTCAAAAATACTTACTCACCCTCCCTCCAACTTGTTCACTCTCCCTCTAACTCATTCACTCACTCACCCTCCAACTCATTCACTCTCCCTCTGACTCATTCACTCACTCACCCTCCAACTCATTCACTCTCCCTCTAACTCATTCACTCACTCACCCTCCAACTCATTCACTCTCCCTCTAACTCATTCACTCACTCACCCTCCAACGCTTTCACTCTCTCTGTAACTCATTTACTCACTCACCCTCCAACTCATTCACTCTCCCTCTAACTCATTCACTCACTCACCCTCCAACTCATTCACTCTCCCTCTAACTCATTCACTCACTCACCCTCCAATGCTTTCACTCTCTCTGTAACTCATTTACTCACTCACCCTCCAACTCATTCACTCTCCCTCTAACTCATTCACTCACTCACCCTCCAACTCATTCACTCTCCCTCTAACTCATTCACTCACTCACCCTCCAACGCTTTCACTCTCTCTGTAACTCATTTACTCACCCTCCCTCCAACTTGTTCACTCTCCCTCTAACTCATTCACTCACTCACCCTCCAACTCATTTATTCTCCCTCTAACTCATTCACTCACTCACCCTCCAATTCATTTATTCTCCCTCTAACTCATTCATTCACTCACCCTCCAACTCATTCACTCTCCCTCTAACTCATTCACTCACTCACCCTCCAACTCATTCACTCTCCCTCTAACTCATTCACTCTCCCTATAACTTGTTCACTCTCCCTCTAACTCATTCACTCACTCACCCTCCAATTCGTTTATTCTCCCTCTAACTCATTCACTCACTCACCCTCCAACTCATTTATTCTTCCTCTAACTCATTCACTCACTCACCCTCTAACTCATTCACTCTCCCTCTAACTCATTCACTCTCCCTCCAACACTTTCACTCCCCCTATAACTCATTCACTCTCCCTCTAACTTATTCACTCACTCACCCTCCAACTCATTCACTCTCCCTATAACTCATTCACTCTCCCTATAACTCATTCACTCTCCCTCTAACTCATTCACTCACTCACCCTCCAACTCATTCACTCTCCCTCTAACTCATTCACTCTCCCTCTAACTCATTCACTCACTCACCCTCCAACCCATTCACTCTCCCTCTAACTCATTCACTCACTCACCCTCCAACTCATTCACTCTCCCTCTAACTCATTCACTCACTCACACTCTAACTCATTCACTCAACTCATTCACTCACTCACCCTCCAACTCATTCTCTCCCTCTAACTCATTCACTCACTCACCCTCCAACTCATTAACTCTCCCTCTAACTCATTCACTCACTCTCCCTCTAACTCGTTCACTCACTCAGCCTCTAACAAATTCACAGACTCACCCTCTAACCCATTCACTCGTTCACCCTCTAACTCACTCACCCTCCAACTCATTCACTCTCCCTCTAACTCATTCACTCACTCACCCTCCAACTCATTCACTCTCCCTCTAACTCATTCACTCTCCCTATAACTTGTTCACTCTCCCTCTAACTCATTCACTCACTCACCCTCCAATTCGTTTATTCTCCCTCTAACTCATTCACTCACTCACCCTCCAACTCATTTATTCTTCCTCTAACTCATTCACTCACTCACACTCCAACTCATTCACTCTCCCTCTAACTCATTCACTCACCCTCCAACACTTTCACTCCCCCTATAACTCATTCACTCTCCCTGTAACTCATTCACTCACTCACCTTCCAACTCATTCACTCTCCCTCTAACTCATTCACTCTCCCTCTAACTCCTTCACTCTCCCTGTAACTCATTCACTCTCCCTCTAACTCATTCACTCACTCACCCTCCAATTCGTTTATTCTCCCTCTAACTCATTCACTCACTCACCCTCCAACTCATTCACTCTCCCTCTAACTCATTCACTCACTCACCCTCCAACTCATTCACTCTCCCTATAACTCATTCACTCCCCCTATAACTCATTCACTCACTCACACTCTAACTCATTCACTCACTCAACTCATTCACTCACTCACCCTCCAACTCATTCTCTCCCTCTAACTCATTCACTCACTCACCCTCCAACTCATTAACTCTCCCTCTAACTCATTCACTCACTCTCCCTTTAACTCGTTCACTCACTCAGCCTCTAACAAATTCACAGACTCACCCTCTAACCCATTCACTCGTTCACCCTCTAACTCACTCACCCTCCAACTCATTCACTCTCCCTCTAACTCATTCACTCTCCCTATAACTTGTTCACTCTCCCTCTAACTCATTCACTCACTCACCCTCCAACTCATTTATTCTTCCTCTAACTCATTCACTCACTCACCCTCCAACTCATTCACTCTCCCTCTAACTCATTCACTCACCCTCCAACACTTTCACTCCCCCTATAACTCATTCACTCTCCCTATAACTCATTCACTCACTCACCCTCCAACTCATTCACTCTCCCTCTAACTCATTCACTCTCCCTCTAACTCATTCACTCTCCCTGTAACTCACTCACCCTCCAATTCGTTTATTCTCCCTCTAACTCATTCACTCACTCACCCTCCAATTCGTTTATTCTCCCTCTAACTCATTCACTCACTCACCCTCCAACTCATTTATTCTCCCTCTAACTCATTCACTCACTCACCCTCCAACTCATTCACTCTCCCTATAACTCATTCACTCTCCCTATAACTCATTCACTCTCCCTCTAACTCATTCACTCACTCTCCCTCCAACTCATTCACTCTCCCTGTAACTCATTCACTCTCCCTCTAACTCATTCACTCTCCCTCTAACTCATTCACTCACTCACCCTCCAACCCATTCACTCTCCCTCTAACTCATTCACTCACTCACCCTCCAACTCATTCACTCTCCCTCTAACTCATTCACTCACTCACCCTCCAACTTATTCACTCTCCCTCTAACTCATTCACTCACTCACACTCTAACTCATTCACTCACTCAACTCATTCACTCACTCACCCTCCAACTCATTCTCTCCCTCTAACTCATTCACTCACTCACCCTCCAACTCATTCACTCTCCCTATAACTCATTCACTCCCCCTATAACTCATTCACTCACTCACACTCTAACTCATTCACTCACTCAACTCATTCACTCACTCACCCTCCAACTCATTCTCTCCCTCTAACTCATTCACTCACTCACCCTCCAACTCATTAACTCTCCCTCTAACTCATTCACTCACTCTCCCTTTAACTCGTTCACTCACTCAGCCTCTAACAAATT